CTACATCCTTGAAAATCCATAAAAATCCATTTTTTAGACAATTTACAACGTTTTTAGGGAACGGCGAAGTCAAATCCTTAAGCATATTTAAAAAAAATATTGCCTTCCCGGGCCCTTTCAAACAAAGTTTTATGCAAATTCTCTTACTTCTCGAGATCAAATCGACGGGCTGGCGTGCCGGGATGCACATATTATACCCACAAGCGGTCGGGCAACACCTAAAAACCAGGTTAAGCCGATTACGCCATCAAATTCCGGTGGCTCACTTGTGCATCGAGCTCGTCATATGGCAGTCACGGTCGTAGTTGCACCAGCTGATCGCTTTCTAGGGGTAATTTTGTTAAAAAAGACCTTAAAAGGGTGCCTTAGAACATTTAACGGAACGCTGCCACGGTCTTGTACTTCCTTTTAAAGGGACGGGCAAGGCATGGCTATAGACTTTTCGGGCTGGATTAAAATTGGATTTGGCAGCGCCCACGACACGCCGCGCGTGCCTTAAGATAGCCGTGTAGAATCTCGGAAAATCAGCGTTGCATCAGCGAGCGCATGCGTTGCGTAAGGGGCGTGGCAGGCGTGTGCGTTGGGTTGCGGCGATGATTGCGCTGCGTTTAACGGATCCATGTCGCAGTATAATACGTTGCGTACCGCGGCAGATGCGTCGCGTCTACCGCGGGAAGTTGCGTATCAGTGGCCCTTGCGTTGCGTATCGCGGCTGTAGCGTCGCGGTTCGTAGGAGCATGCGTTGCGTTTCGCGCTTTGCATGCGTTGCGGACCGCGGGTATTTGCAGGGCGTCCCGCGTGTATCTACGTTGCCTATCGCGGGTGTATGCGCAGCGTCAAGTGGTAGCATGCGATAGCGTGTCACGATTTCACCTGCGTTGCGTTTCGCGGGGGCAGACGCTGCATGTCACGTTGCGTTTCCGGCACTTTTTATGTCATTTTTTAAAGACGGACCTCCCGGCCGTGCCCTGCCAATCCCTTTCAAATTTTAACGAACCTACCTTTTGGCGACAAACCACTTGCAAATCCTCAGCCGCCGGGCACTGACCACCATTCGAGATTCCCGGAGCGCCGACTTGCTAAATTTCACAACCTCTAAAATTTTACCCGACAACCATACCCTGTTGAGTTTAGCATTCGCGCAGCAGGGCTGCCCGCCCACCCAGCAGATGAGACCCGAGCCGCAAAAGCCCGTTCTGGCGCATTGGGACATGCTGGTGACAACGTGGCACAGGGGGATCGAGCTGGCTAAAGCGGGGGTTACGGTAGATGGACTTTAGGGTACCATATGTGTCTACAGCTGCCGGATGGGGTCGGTTAAAATCTCGCTGAACGCTCCATTGCAGTTGTTGGCATTCGGGGCGGGCGACGCCGCGGAGTCGCCAGTAGTCGCACCATTCCACCGAGGAACCTGAGTTAAAGGCTTTTGTCGCAATTTGTAATATTCTCATCCTACTATATATAAAAAAATAGTGTCTGTGTGTGTGTGTGTATATTTGCATGCAACTTCCGTAAGTATGTACCGCACCTACAGCCTCAAGGGAAGGTTTTTAAGGTATGTTTGATACGTCATTAGGTGCGTAAGGATCCCGAGATGAGTGCACACATATAAGATTTAGGAAAATCGGCTGTTTTCGCTATTAAAAATAAGTTTTTGTAAAGATTTCCAAAAACCTCTTTGTTAGGAGGCAATTTGCATGCGCCGGAAGTAGGGAGGGCCTATCTAAAGGGACAGAGGAGCAGCTGTTTTTCACTTTTTTTTTGCTATAATTTAGGGAGAAGCATGCAAATTGAGGACTTTCGCAGGTCCTGGACGGGGCCAGGGTTGAAAAGCCGCGAAGCGGTTTTTCAACCCTGGTTGTTTTTTTAATTAAATTTTACCTAAAATTCATTTGTTCAAAATTAGATTATCGATATTATAGACTGTCGAAAATCGTTAACGATGCATTTTCGATGTATTGAAATTTGGAAAAATGGCCATTTGGTATTTTAAAACATTACGCAAGAAAACATTACGCAAGACTTATAAAGGCGAACTTTATGATAAATATCTACCTTGTACAGCCGCATACAGCGTCGTGAAGATCAGGAGTCGAGGTAGCATGATGAGATCTAAAAAAAACTATTTTTCCATAGGAAATGCGCGGAAAACACATAATCTGAGAGCTTCTTGTTTAGTACCATCTTTTCCTCTTATCTGGTTCACAAAATAAAAAACAACAAATTTAAACCCGACCCGATGCAAAACGGAGCCTCTAGGTGCGAAAAATCCGTAAATTTTCTTTTAGACATCGTAGCCGTCAAAGGTAGTGTTCGAAATCGGTCAGTAATCGCCAAAAAATTGGAGAAGCCGCTATTACAAATCCAGGGTAGTGAAAGTATACACCTAATTACGCAGTAGTTTATAGGTGTATACGTCCAAGTCTCTGAACGTGCGTTTAAATAATAAAAACGTACTAAAAATGTAGAAAATGCATCAACCAAGAGCAAGGTATACAAAAAGCCCCGTAAGTTATACTAAAACCGTTAAAAACGCTATAGTTGAACTACAGTAATCCAAGGAGGTACAAACTCGGCAGCCAGGCCAAAGTGATTGTGTCCCAGGACCCAGGCAATCAAGTCCAATCTAGGGGGCGTGAGAACACACGGACTATACTGTCCCTCCTCCCAACTTTTCTCTGTGTTTGCCCCTTGTCCGAGAGATTGTCGATTGGAGTGTAGTGGATGAGGGTGTGGATAGTAGTGCCATGGAACACGAGTGTCCGTGATTCGTCATCACCACCACGGGCAGGGCGGACACGGACGCGGACAAGGGCCAAACCCTACCCTGGCCACTTGACCATAACACCCAAGGGCACACCAATGTCACCAAAGGACTTCTGGAGAGGCTGACGACAAAGGGGGGACACTTGAGGGGATGGGTGTGAACGTGCCGTTGGATGGGGTTAGACGAGAAGACGTCAGCGAAACGGGGGTCTGGATTTGGGGTGGGCTTAAGCTTTCAGGGGCCTGGCTTTGGTTCAGGCCTAAGCTAGCCAACTAAGCTAGCTCAAAGCTTAAGCCAAAGCCAAAATTAGGCACGAAGCTAGGTTTAAACCGAAGTCAGAAACCCAAGCTTGAGCCTAGTTACGCGGCCGGAGCCTGGTGCTCCTCCCAGCCTGACAAAGTATAAGCCCAGGCGAAGCTTAGCCTAAGCCTAAGCAAGTGTAAGCGAAAGCTTGAGCATCAGCATAAGCCGAAGCGAAAGTTTAAGCCCAAGCTTGAGCCACGCTAAGCCAAGCCTGAGCCTAAACCCAAGCCCACTCCTAAGCGAAAGCCTAAGCCTAAACCTCAGCCTAAGCCTAACCCTAATTATAAGACTAAGCGAAAACCTAAGCATAAGCCTACGCCTAAGTCCAAGCCCAAGCCTACGCCTAAGACTGAGCTTGAGCTTAAGCCGAAGCCGAAGCCGAAGCTTAAGCTTAATCCTAATCTTTATGAAGCTAAGCCAAGCCTAATTAAGTAGGTTTAGCCGAATTTCCCACTTTAGAGATATATTAAAAAATTATAGCTTTTCAGAAAACACAGACGCAACAAATTCGGAAGTGTCGAAGAATGGTGGGCACATCAGCGGGGTGGTAAAACTGGCCATTTGTTGATAGTCCAGCCGGGGAGGTGCAAAAAAGTGGACGGCGTGATGGTTCGCGGGAGGGGGCCACGAGACTCTCATAATTCAACGCGCGAGAGGACCCTTCTCTCTCTCTCCCTCTCCATCTCTCTCTCTCTCCCTCGCATCATCATCATCATCACCAAAATGCTTTGCAAACAATAGGAGGGAGGGATGGGCCCATGGCCATATCCCTTCCCCTTTGGCTATGCAAATTTCCCGCCAATCCCGAACCACTTATCGCACCCCGGGGCCGTGATTGTCGAGGACTTCCGGAATTTGGTATTTGGCAGGAAAACGGTTAGGGCATTTTTGGAGGCCTTAAAAATGTGCCAGCAAACTTTAGGGATCTGGAAATCGGCTGGAAGAGAAAAATTTTGATTTCTGTCGGCATTTTGGCCTCCCAGAACGTGGGCTTGTCGCGATTCTGGCTCTCAGCACCTTGGCTGTCGGCATTTTGGACTCTCGGGACTGATGCTGTCGATGTTTTGGCTGTCGGGGTTTGGGCTTGTCGACATTCTGGCTTTCGCGATTTCGGATGCGGATTTCGCTCGTTATATTGGCCTTCCGGCATTTTGGACTGTCGGGATTTTGGACTGTCAGAATTCTGGCCTGTCGGGATTCACGATGTCGGCATTTTGCATATCGGCTTTTGCGTTGTCGGCATTCTGGTTTTCGGCATTTTGGCGCTCGGGATTATACCGGGAATCCCCACGCCAAAAAAGCCATCTAAAGCTTTAGAGCTCGGGCTCCGTCTTGGGGAGATTTGTGCTTTTAGCAAAGCCCCTGTTTTCCGGATATCTTCATACTTATTCTTTTGGTACCAGCCATTTATTGTCAGATAATTTGTCACGAAAAGCTTCCTCATTTCAAGGAGATCTCGTGCTCAAATCCGTGGCTCTTTGATCCTAAAGGGGCGGGTGGCGATGATCCGCGAAATCTCGGGAGGGCGGGAGGAAGAGCCGGCATTGTTATGCGGCAAGGTCATGCTCGACAGCGCAGAGAGTAAGAGAGAGAGATGCAAGGCGGGAAGGGGAGGGTGATAATCTGAGTCGGACTCCCTCTATGTGTTGAGTGTGTTTTCCAATTATGCCATCCTGAGAAATGGGTGGCTGTCAAAATAGTTCCCCCTCTTGCCTCGGCGCCTTCTCATTCTCCTAGGTTGACATATCGTTCTCCTCGATTGGCAAAGAGGAGCAGGAGGAGGAAGGAGGTGGAGTACCTAGGTAGTCAATTTCAACCCTCTCCGCCCCATCACTTCTCAGCAGTAGCCATTGTCTTGGATTGGATCGCGCCCTGGTCCGGATCAGCCAGGCCCTCACTTTTTTTGCTCCATCCAGCCCCGGAGTCTGCGATGGGCCATCCGAGGAGTGTGGCCGCGCTGGTAAGGAATTTGATTGTATTTTGGGAGTAATTTAGACTGAGCACGAACTCAAGACTGAGTCTAAGCCTAAGCCTAAGCCTAAGCCTAAGCCTGGGCCTAAGCCTAATCCGAAGCCTAAGTCTAAACATACTGTAGCTACAACTATAATTTCCTTAAGATCCGTCCTTTACGGCAGCTTTTAATGTAACACCTACCTTGTGGAGCTTCACCAGCCACAGTAACCTGATCCTATCGCTAAGTCCAAGCTTAAGACAATCTTCGGTCAAGGCTTAGGCCGAATTTGGAGCATACCGTAGCTTTAGAAGCACCTTCAAGGCATCTCTCCATTAGGTAATGGATTGCGACAGGCTCATGGCTCTGAAACTTGTCGGGTGCGCCGGAAAAATCTCAGGAAATCGATAGTCAACTCTAGTCCTCCTCTGAATAGCTACGAAAAGCGCCCAATTACTGCCCAGGCGCCGTGCGGTCTTTGTTTTGTGGGACTGTCCAGTACCAATGACGCCGCTCCCCGCAGCCAGCATGTGTTCTAGCATTGTCAACTGGAATGGGGGGGTTCAAAGGCACCATAACATAACCATTCCCCGATTTAATGAAGCTTTTACGAAAATTGGGCTCTTTGATGTTTTAAAGGGACGAGCAAGTCAAAATTGGCTCAAGAAGTTCGAGAAGGTTCCAAGCGCTGCGGGTCGCGACGAGGCCGCGGTGAAAGCCATAGGAAATCCCTGGCAAGCAAAATTCATAACCTTGTCTTGCATGCGCCTTTAAAAGGACAAGTCAAATTTACTCCTCGTTATTGCCACGCTGCAAATCCGTGCTCCTGACCACCACCAAATCATCTCGAAAACGTGGCGGACCCCGCATTCCACTTCCCCCTCTATTTTTGACAGTTCTCCCGTCGATCCGCGCGTGCCACCCAAATTTGTCGACTGTAATAAGGCGCGGTAATCGAAAACAAAAGTGGATCGGGGAGGATCATGGACTCGCGGGGAGGATGAGCGGAGGCAAAGTTTAAGGGCGCGTTGAAAATGTTGGAATTCTGCTTGTTACAGTACTTTTAAGGGGGTAATGCACGGGAAAATGTGCGAAAACGGGCAGAGATCAACGCATTCATGACATCGCTATACCGAAAAACACATTTTGTTGAATTTTTATAAGCTTTTCCGTGTTTTTCAAGGATGTATACAATCAATTTCTTGCCTTCCACGGTCTTTTAAAACGTTTTTTACCATTTATAAACGTACAAACTATACTAATTTTTAATGTAATATTGCACAATTAATTTTAATAATCAAAAATAAAAAACAACGATTATTGACCAAAAAATGGCCATTTTTCAGAAAATGTTTTTATTTTTTAAACTTAAAGACTTTTTAAAATTTAACGGTTGTTAGATAATTTTTCTAGTTGAACTATAGCGTAATTCCGTTCAGCTACTCGCCACAGCCCTATTCGCCAGTTGGGATGGCTACTCGAACGCCCAAACAACACCCCTATTCCCGGTGGCCTGCGAGCTGAACGTGCTGATCGTGCTGGACCGGTCGGGTTCGTGGAGATGCCAAAAAAATGAAAAACTTGCAACATCTTAGACTCGGTGAAGGGCGGCTTCAACAAGTCGCGCAACTTTGTGCTGGACGTCTCGCAAGAGTTGCAGATTGGCCCCTCGAAGCATCGGGTATGTGAAGCTCGTTGTAGAGTTGAAATCAACTATAATTTTTGTAGATTTTCTTTGATCATTGAGAACCCGTAAAATTGTCGCTCTAGGTGGCGATGATCGTCTACTCGGGGCCGAGCTACCGTCGTGAGGTTTTCAAGTGGAATTTCGCGAAGAGCAACGATGAATTCCAACGGATCACCTCGAATTTGAGGGCAATTGGAGGGACGACATCGACGAAAAAGGTCGCTTATTAAGATCCTCGGCCTTGGCTTCAGCCTACGTCTAAGCCTAAGCCAAAACCAAAGCCGAAGCCTAAGCCTAAGCCCATGTTTAAGCCTAATAACCTTATTGCAGGCGCTCGAAGTCGCGAACGAGCTGATGGCAACGCGAGATCAATCGGTGGCCACCCTAGTGATGGTGGTGACCGACGGGCGGTCGGCCGACGATCCGAAGCAGCCAGCTTTGAAGCTACGGTAGGGGGGAGACTATTTAGATAATTGGTACAATTCAGCCAATTCCCGAACACGTGGGTGTTTGCCGCTTCGACTGGAGATCCGGAGAAAGTTGATATGTAAGGTTTAATGACGAATTCTGCCAATTAATTTAATTTCCTCAGCATTATTTGAGTTTCCGGTGCCTTTAAAATTTCTCTATTTTAAGGAGAGAACTGAAAGACATCACCGGGGATGAGAATAAAATTGTTACACATCGAGGACGAGAGTTGGCCACCGATATTGCCAAGCGGATCCTGAGAAAGGTAGATTAAACTTATGATACCTGGTATTAACGATTGCAATAGGCCCAAGAGAAATGTCGTACGACCACGTCGACGACCACGACAACTACAACAACCACCACAACAACGACCACTACTACGAATCCTATTACAGGTAAGCCTGAGCCTAAGCATACCCCTAAGCTAAACTAAGCTAACCCTAAGCTAAGCCTAAGTCTAAGCCTATGCCTAAACCCAAGCCTAAACCTAAAAACATAAGCCTAAGCCTAAACCTACGCTGATCCTACCCTCAATAATTCCAGGCTGCGAAATGGACCTCGTGTTCGTGATGGACCTTTCGACCACAACGAACCATATCTACAGCTTCTACAAAGACATGGCAGAGAAGCTCGTCAAGTCGCTGATCATCAGCCCCAGGCATACCAGGGGTATCTTGTCTCGAAAATCAAGATCATCGACTTTTGTAGTGGCCCTGATCGGGTTCTCGTCAATCGGGCGGACACGAACCGTGTTCAACCTGAAGAAGTACAAATTCGAAGGGCAGGTGCTGCAGGCGTTGGACGAGTTGCAGAGCGCTGGAGGGACGACGGCGATTGGTAGGAGAGAGAAAGAGAGAGAGAGAGAGAGAGAGAGAGAGAGAGTCAGAGGATCGACAGAGAGAGAGAGCGAGAGAGCCAGAGAGAGGGAGAGAGGGAGAGCGCGAAAGCGAGAGAGGAGGAGACCGAGAGAGTGAGGGCGAGAGAGAGAGAGCGAGATTGAGAGAGATATCCACTTTCCAGGCCAAGGCATCCTGCAAGCGATGACACAGGCAAACGAGCGCGAAGGTGCCCGACCGAAGCTCGCAACAAAGGTTTGTGCTTTCCACTACAGTACGCTACAGTACGCTACAGTGTACTGTAAATGCGGAAACTCGTACTATCGCCGTGTAGGTGATGGTCATCTTCACGGACGGGTGGAACAACAAGGGCCCGGACCCGGAAGCTACGGCCCGAGATGCACACCAAGCCGGCTGGGAGGTGTACGCCGTGGGATTCGCGGTAAAAACGGGTGTTTTGGGTGCATTTTCGGTAGTTTTATAGTGCGGAGGAGCTTGGGTTTCTGTCGTTAAAAGTTTAATTTTAACGACAGAAATTAGAAAAATTAGCTTTATTTTTTAATTTTTTAGTTATTTTTAAAAATTAAAAATAGAAGAAAAGCAAGTGTGAAATCAATTAAAAACTTTATAATTCCTTTAAAATACCGCTTCCCGCGTCGCCTGGACCTCTCAAAAAAAACCCTCTGAAATGTGTGATGTGCGGCTAGTGCCAACAACAAAAATTAGTCTGCCAAAATGCCGAGCTTTTGCCGTGATTTTCATCCCCGAAAAATGAAGCCCCGGGGCGGTTCAGGCGACGGGGGAAACGAGGATGGTGTTTGAGAGTCGAAAGGGAGATGGGGAGGACGTGCCACTACACGAGATGACTCTCAACGTCCTCGGGTCCGATCGGGCCCATATCTTCTCCGATGAGAACACGCAGCAGATGGTCGAGCGCATCCGGCAGCGGAATGCAAAGTGCTTTGGGCAACCGTTGTAAAAGCCGAAGCCACTTTGAAGCTTTTTAAGATTTTTAATTTCGATTTTATTCATTAATTTTTGTGAAAATTGGGGTTTTTTGGGATATTTGGAGTATTTTTTGACTCAGATCATCTTTTATAAGCCTTGTTTTAAATCTTTTAACCCGGTTTTAAGGCTAAACACGTTTTTGTTAAAAAATAATTGGTCAAAAAATAGGCAAAACCCGTGGACAATTTTCTAAATTTTCCAAATTTTTGATTTTTCACATATTTGGCTACTGTAAATTTGCTATCATACCTAACAATAAGTGATGTACCAAAAAAATGAAAAAACTGAGCGACCATCAAAAAAATTCCAAAAAAGCCTCGAAAATCCCGAAAATCCCGAATTCGAATTGCCCTACTCCGGCTCAACAATTCGCATTTTGTTTCTGACCGTATTCCGTGTCTTGAAGGGGTTGGGAAGCGTGGGAATCGACCCCTCTGTCGACTGGGTCTAGAAAACTACGGCCGCTCCAAACGACGTGCAAACCTTATCGTTTTTTAACGTTTGAAGGCTATCAACTTCGCTGGCTATCAATTTTCACATTCCTCTTAAACGGCACTAAACTAAGGTATGGTACGCGTCAATTGGCCTGTAGCGTAGTTGTCGAGACCTAGTAGATGGAAGGGGTCGATTCTCGGGTTTCCTGACCCCCAAAAAATCCCATGATCTCATCGCGACGCCATTTCCATGCCCAGCCAATTTATTTTTTACTTTTTTTGATGGAGTTGTCTTTTTAAGCCCCTTTTTCCGGTTCGACCGGCTTACGTATACGGACCGTACCCTTACCGTAATACGCGCTTTATTTATAGTCGTTTAACTAATAAACAATGCACAACCTTCGTTTATTTATTCGCAGTACATTAATACAAAGAGATACATAAAAATACAAAGAATTTATTCGCTTTTTGACGTTTGCTATCACAGGGTCGAATTCACCGTTTTTTTTGCTAAGGGATTACTCTAAAATCGAGTCTTAATAATGATGCCTATTAACAAATATTAGTTTATAAAGACTGGAGACTAAATAATTATTCAAACTACAAAAATCACTCAAAAATTATCTAATCTGCGTATTAAAAAAATGCAATATATATGACTTTATATTATTTTACGATTCGGTAGTAACTCTATAATATGTATCATCCTCCGGATTATAATAGCAATCAAAATCCGCGTCGTAGATCAGGCCGGCCATCGCGTCTGATGAGAAATCGGTCGATTTCTGAGAGTATGGTATTTTCTTACTAAGCTTCTGCTTAGCTTCAGCTTGGCTTCGGATTAAGCTTAGGCTGCCGCACCGCAACACGCAACGCGTTCCCCGGATTTCATTGCGTAATGCCCTAAGCCCGCTCAAGGAGGCCAAAACCATAGAAAATCGATTTGAAGAGCAATCCATAGCTCCGTCTTCCCGATCCCTTTAGTGGGAACCGACTGTTCTCAAATGGTCTACGCTAGTTGACCGCTGAAAATACCTGAGATCGCTGGGTCGAGGAGGTCTTCTCGTGTCGAAATCCCTGGAGTCGGTCTTCCCTGAAAAAATCCGAAATCTAAGGAATTTTTCTGTCAGGCACCCTTTAAAGTCGACGCGAAGGGCGTCGAAGTATAGCGTCGTCGCGCACTTTAACGTTTACGATACCCCACGACCGCGACGCCACCGCAACGCATAAAACACCAAAAACCTTACATTTCTCGGATAATATGCCGGCCATCCGTACCCCCTTGACTATGGGCCGAGTGGGCCCTCCGCCGTATCGCTTGAGGCGTTCCGTCGAGCTCCTGAAAACGGTTGCAATGGCTTATATACAGTAGTAAGATCCAGCCCTTTGAGCTCTACCACCGGCTTACCTTTTGCTTGGTGAGTCTGGGGTGCGGATGAGCACTCTGAGTCCCTCTACCCGGATTCTGCTGCCGTTTTTCGTGCGTCTCCTCATCAGATAGGTCCTCATACTCGTGCTCCCGCAGCGAGTCGTCAAATGACCGCGTCGCTTGTCGACTGCCCAGCCTGAAGGAGGATCTTTTCAAGAAAGTCTTGCGTTTTTTAGAGTGCCAGAACACAGCCTTACCCTTAAGGGGAAATTCTGGTTGTCCGAAATTTGTACCTACCGTAATCTGGTGATGCTCTTTAGCATGTTCAGCTCCACCGAGTCGGCCGATCGCATCAGCAGGGAATCGGTTGTAGATTGGCGCGAGGTGGTCGATTTGGCTAAAACATGTTTTTTTAGCTTCAGCTTTGAGCATGAGCTTCGACTTGGGCTTGGTAGGCTTAAGGTTAGGCTTAGGCTTAGTCTTAGGCTTACGCTTAGGATTGGGCTTAGCCTTAGCTTAGACATAGCTTAGGCTGGGTTAAGCTTAGCTTACTTGCTAGGCGTAAGCCTGCTCTCAGACGCTAAGCTTAGGTGTAGGCTAGCTTAACTTAGCTCATGCTCAGCTGCTAAGCTCATCTCTACCAACTCCCCCTAAAATCCAGGAGAAAAATCGGTCCACCGCAGTAGATCAACCAGTTCGCCCCCCACGCTATCCCATTCGACAAGCCAATTTGTCCAGGTATATGTGATATCAGGCGGGGGAACCGGTTTTTCGACCGAATTCCGCGACGATACGGTATACAGTCGCCCTATTATATCGCCCCGCCGATGGTCCATTATTCAGGACGCAGCGCAGGGGGTCCGGCTCGCCCGCGGGGTTCGCTTTTTTGTGCGGGCGTGTGATGCGAACACCAACATATAACTGCCCCCCTTCAATTCCGGGAGGACGATGATTATGACCCGGGCATACTAGTCACTCTCTCTCTCTCTCTCTCTCTCTCGCTCTCTCTCTGTGTGTAGCGCGCTTTCTCTCGACAGGCGTGCTATATAAACCTGAGGACGTTCAGATTTTCATATTCTTGTTCCAGGATTCCGGAACTTTCCAAATTACTTGGATGTGATCGGGAGATACGGTAGGCGCTAATTTTAGGTCATTTTTCCGGATGCTTGACGCTAAACCTAAGCCAAGATTAAGCCAAGCTTAAGCCTAAGCCCAACCCTAAGCCTAAACTAAGCCGAAGCCTAAGTCTAAGCTTGAACCTATTCCTACGCCTAATTGTAAGACTTTCCTGAACAATCCCTGCTGGTTTCCCCTGCAAAGTTTTCCAAGCAAAATCCCAAGCTGCTAAAGCCAAGACCAAGCCACAAAAGTTCTAAATGCAAACCAAAGTTTTTCTCATAGTTTTTTGGCAATTTTTGGAGTACGGTACAGACGAGCCATTTTTCGCCACCGGTAGCCACCCCCGAAAAGTAAAGCAAAAAAAGTGGATTACCTTTTCGGTGGTTCCCATCATGAATATTCGCCTAGAAGGGCTATATATTCGATCGGCCGGGGGGGCTATCGACTCGGCCAAGACTTTCCATTTCTGCACCTAGCCCTATGCCCCCAAAAAAGTACACAAATGGATTTTAGGGACGCTTTCAGGTAGTAGGCTTAGGTTTAGGCTTAGGCTTAGGCTTAGGCTTAGCTTAGGCTTAGGCTTAGGTTAGGCTTAGGCTTAGGCTTAGGCTTAGGCTTAGGCTTAGGCTTAGCTTAGGCTTAGGCTTAAGCTGAGGCTGAGGCTGAGGCTTAGGATTAGGCTTAGGCTTAGGCTTAGGCTTAAACTTCTCGAACGATCGGCTAGGCCTTCTAAAAGCCCTTGTAAGTCTTTTTTTAACTAAATTTTATAGGAAGTTAGTACAACTTTAAAGGGGCTTGGACACCCGAAGATCGGGGTTTTGGCTTTAAAATAATGTTAAACAATGAAATTTTGCCTGATTTTACCAATACAACTCTTGAAAGGCTCCCTCCCATTGATGCCGAAATACCCGAGAACATGGTCAACTTTGTTGGCAGCTTCAAGGGAGCGTCTGACGGGCACAACAAAGTTCACTATGTTCTCGGGGCTACGGCATGATACAGATTACGACCGTCTGCCTTACATTAATGGATAAGGATTCTCACTCTGTCTTTCTCTCGCTCTCTCTCACCCCTGCTCTCTCACTCTCTCACTCTGTCTCTCTTTCCCCTCTCTCTCCCACTCTCTCTCTCCTCTCTCTCTCTCTCTCTCTTTACCTCTTTGCGTTTTGAATATCGACATAGCGGCATTTTTTAATCATGGATTCGACATTCTGGCTTCTCGGCTTTTCATAGTTATCCGTATGCGCCCCCCCCAAGTCAGCCCCCAGCCTAGAGCATGGTCCACTTTGTTGCTATGTCCATGAGCCCAACAAAGTTTACTATCCTCTCTGATGGGCGCGGCTATTTCCACTCCTAAGAACTACGGTACCTGTGGATGGACGCCCGGCCGGTCGCTCCATACGTTGCAGCCGGACGGTTTTGCGCTTCTGAAATGGGCCCAGGATTAGGCTGAGGCTGATGCTTAGGATTAGGCCAAGGACCAGGCCTAGGCTCCGGCTTAGGCTTAAGCTTCGGCTTAGGCTTAGTCTTTGCCACAGGCTAAGGCTGAAGCTTAGGCTTACAATTAGGCCGGCGCCTCGGCTTAAGCTTATTTCTTTTTCAAAAATCACCTCAATCGGCAGCGAGGGCAATCGTGGCGGGAGCCTCCGATTGTACGATGGGGCTGGCACGGAGTATTGCGAGGAAAATGACGGGTGCATCGAGCTGATCGAGATCGTTGAAGAATCCTTGATTGAATGAATTGTTGAATATTCTTTATGTTGAAATTAAGTCGAAATAAAGTCGTTTAATGGCAAAAATAATAAAAAATAAGCCTAAATAAATAAGAAAGTCTTACATCTGGTATTCCATCGATTTCAATCTCTGGCGTCCTGACCAGCACGCGCTCGATACTACGATCCATTACTAAAAACGGCGGATTAAGGGAAAAATGATGTTGCTTTTATCTCTTGGATCTTTTTTTAAATGTTAGTATATTTTTTATTGTTTTTTCAATTTGTTGTATTCTTAAAGGAATTAAATTACTACTTATTTTGAATTTAAGTA